CTTCATATAATAAAATGATGCCATTTTATTCTCTTGGTATGAAAGGAAAAAGAAAAATAAGTACTTGTATAAATTAACTATACAAGAGGAATCACTTCTTCATTCTATTTTGTTCTTGTGCTGAAACAATATAGAGAATGACTTCTATATTACGGGAGTAGCTTAGTTAAATGATACAATAAGATATCATATTTCTTCATCAGAAATGTAATGATACAAACAGTTTTACAGATCGTATTACATCAATTTTACTTTCTTCTTCCTTTACAGAATACGTTTACAGATTTCTGTTCTTATTTGAATATATATTTCAAGGTACAATTCGTTTTCATTTCTTAGTACCCTCTGTTAAACATTTATTCATATCCTCCGTTCTAGAAATGCAATTCGTATATAGTCATCGACGTCTAAAATATATATTTATGTTAAGTGTTTCTATTCTTATGATTGTTACTATAGTTCGATATTTTGTTAGTCATATATTTTCTATTGAAATAAGTTCATTGTATTTACCGTTGTGCCCCTATTCATTCAAAATCAATGGTAATTATATAATTTATGATGATGCCTCGTATTACATTCATCACTATCCTGAATTTATCTGTCCACAAAACTTTCGAAACTTAGCTGATTGGATTTATGGTTGGCCTGAATCTGCATTTAACGAAAAAATTGAATATTCTGTAAGTGGAAACAAGGTAAATGTACCAAATCTTCCGAATGGTAGTATTATTTATGTTAAAATCGACAGTATTTCATCTTTTTTCTCAAATATATATCCATATCTAATGTATAAATTTGTACTAATCACTGGTCAAGGTGATGATCCAATGCCAAGCCGATTCCTTCATTACCTTGAAGAATCTGATTCAAAAATTATTCATTGGTTCGGTCAAAATGGTGATATCAATGCAACAAGAAATGAACGTTTTACACATATACCAATTGGTAAGTATAGAATATACTAATAGCCTCTCGAATTCTACTTTTTAACAAAGAATTTGGTTTATTTTATATTGAAAATTTTCATATTTATGTAAGTTTTTACGATAGTTGGCATAAAAGTTTTCCATTTTTATAGGTATTAATTGTTTTGAAATGGCAGAAGGTATTCGAGGTGTTCATCGACAATACCCAAAACATATTCTTCCATCTATCAGCAACAATAATCTTGGTGAACCATCTCATTATATACAACCACATGATATTACACAAAATGTGTTGACAAATAAAAATCAATCAGATAAAATAGTTCTTATTAATTTTCGACCTGATACTGATCCAACTGGTCTACGAGCAAAACTATATAAAGGTATATGCAAAAATAATCAAAGTTCATTTACAATTTGTTATGATAAACCTGATGGAGTGGATATTTCAAGTTTGCCTACTATTTATAAACGAAATCGACAGTATCCATTATGGTTATCTCCTCGTGGTGGTGGACTTGATTGTCATCGAACATGGGAAGCATTGTATCTTGATATAATTCCTATTGTTTGGCATTCAACACTTGATTCATTATATACAAATTTACCAATTATTATTATCAATGATTGGAGTGAAGTTAATGAAGAATTTCTTCGAAAGAAACTCCATGAAATAGCAATAAAAAAAGTTCAACAACCATCTGTATATCAATATGAAAAACTAAGGAATACTTATTGGCGTGAGATAATAATAAAAAAATCTCGATATGCTTTCAATGAAAAAGACATACAAAGAAATCGATGTTGGCGAGCTAAAACTATTCAATAACTTCGTTTTTAAACAATAGAATCGGAATGAAATGTCAATGATGATGATGATAATACAATAGGTCTTGATAAAATCAATGAAAAGTTAAGTTCAACTTTTCGTTGCAAGTAATAAAATAACAACCGATTTAGGCAGAAAAAATCTCGTCTTAAATTACATAAAAAATTCTTCGAGTTACAGAATAGACAGGAGGCAGGTTACGAAAATGCCGTACCCTTCTTGAACTTAGAGGTTAACAAACAAAATGAAAAGAATAAACTCAACAACCTCGACGAGTGATGTACCTACCTCTCCCGTCTGTCTTTTTTTTTGTTTTTTCTGTCATATTTATCTTTCTATCGATCGAAAAAAGAACAAGAATACAGAAAAGACAAACATTGGATACATACTTTATGTATCATTCAGTCTTTATGCATTATTTTTCATCCGAAAAAATTCAGTGAGTTTAACTGTATATATATAAACATGTGCTTTCGTTCGATCGTTCTAGCAGCTTGTATTCTTCAGTGAAGCGTGATATTGGTTTTATTTATATTAGGAAAGATTTTTTTTTCTTGTTGATTGACGATTCATTTTAGACAATATTGAAGGTGTATTTTTGTATGGTTGAATATGTACTCTATAAACTTATAGTTAGTTAACAGAATATTTTTGTTATATATGAGCGATTTAAAAGAACAAACATCGATGAATACACATCGAGACAGCGGATCTATAAATACTTCGAAGAGTTCTACTAAACATCGAAAAACAGGTGAATTTGTTGCTCGTGAATCTTTATTCACTGAATTATTTCACAATTCACATATTAATTGTGTGAGAAATGGATTCATTGCTGGTTTTATTTTGATGGTATTACGTCATTTAGTCGATGATTTACTTCATTATGGAAGGTAAAAAAAGAATATTGATTTTCAAAAATAGATCTTCACCTTGTTGTTTTTTTGTTAGACTAAATTGGACATTTGAATTATTGTTTTTAGCATTTGGTCAATTGCATATTGTCATAATTATTTGGTCTATTATGACTTTATGTACAACTTTTATTGTCTATTATGGAACATATATTTGGGCAAATAATCGTAAATTTAGTGGAACTTCTCTCAGTATAATAATTAAATAAGAAATAAAATAGATAATAAAAATATTATTGTTTAGAATTATATGACATGTTTTGGTTATTGATGTATATTTGTTATATAATGGGTTTATTGATTATACCATGTTGGCAAGTAAATAAATATCAATTGCCATTTGCTTGTGCAACAACTGTTATTCTTGAACAAGTATGTGCTATGGACTTGTAAAAGTCTACACTATGATGATATATGAAAAGCATTTAAGATAGAATATGAAGATTAAATAGAGAGATAGATAGAAATATCAGACTATGATTATAAGAATAGATGAATGTTTTATTCTTAAATTCAACATATATTATTTTCATAATCATAGAAGTTAATTATAAAGTTTTATTTAGCTACGCCAACTAATGAAAACACATTCATTTGTACGTGAAAATGCTGGAAAAATACTTTCACAATCAAATAAATCAACTGGTTTGTTATAATATTCTATTTTCATTACGACTTTAATTGAAATATTTTTTTTAAAATCTAGATCCTCTGTTATCTTCTGAATTTAGTCATTTTAATCAATATTTATATTTTCTTTATGCACCTACATTAATTTTTCGAGATGTTTATCCTCGAACATCGACTATTCGATGGAATGTTGTCTTTAAAATGTTTGGTCAATATCTAACTTGTGGTTTTTTAGTTTATCATATTTTAGCATATTCTTGGATGCCAGTTTTTGCTCGGTGTTTTACAGAAACTGATTTAACATTGAAATCTGCAATAACATCTATATTTGATTTAATGCTTCCAGGAGTTCTCATTATTATATTATGTAAAATATTTATTTTATTTATTTGAATAAATACCTACTAGCTTTTGTTTTATTTAAGGTTATTATGGTTTTTTTTATTGTTGGTTGATTGGATTTGCAGAATTGCTACGATTTGCTGATAGAATGTTTCATGAGGTAGAATAAGAAAATAATTCATTTTTTAGAAATAATTTTATATGTCTAGGATTGGTGGAATTCAGCATCATCTGCGACATTTTGGCGCACATGGAATATTATTGTGCATGATTGGCTTTATGCCTATGTTTATGAAGATCTTAGCAAAGTAATTTCAAACTTTGATTACTGATATCATATTTTAATTTCTTTGTATTTAGTTATGTTCTGGTAAAAAAACTCTACCAACAATTTGTGTAACTATTCTTTCAGCTATACTTCATGAATATTGGCTGACTATTGTTTCTGGAATTTTCTATCCAGTGTTATTTGTGTGGTATGGCTTATTTGGAAGTATGTTTATATATTTATTTTGATATTTCTTATGTTATTTATTTTTTCTTAGTGCTCCTTCGTTTTGCTTTTCCACGTTCAAAAGGACCACTATGGAGTCTTTTTTTCTTATTAATGATACCAGTCTATTTCGCAACAATTGCATATTTATATGCTCTTGAAATGTCTATTCGATATTTTTCTTGGAATCGTGTAAGTTAGGAACATGATTTTATATAATAATAATAATAATAAAATATATATTTATATAGCAAACATTCGGAAATGTAATGATTAAGAATGGTAATGAATCAAAAGTTGATTTATGAAAAAAGGAAAACCATTTTCAAAGAAAGTTGTTTACTTTTTTATTTTGATATTGACAAAGAAATAAATATATATAATAATCAAGCAATCATATTTTTTCAAGTATTATTGTTTTGTCAAAAAACTAAAGTTTTTGGGAATTGAAATTTTATAACGGAGCTAAACTACATTGTATATGTATATTCGAATCTATGTACGATTAATTTATGAAAAGCATTTTAAGTATTATTGTATTTCATTTGCATACCATTAACTAATTTGTACCTATATCTTTACATGAAGAATAAAGAGTAGCAAGCATTAATTGATAAATTTTGATCATGATCGTTAAATAATGTATATTGATCAAAGTCTATTGTTCACAAAATATCGATTATCTTACTTATTCTTTTATTAAAAATTAGAAAAAGAGTTTAGTTATTTCACTTGTTACAAAATGAAATATGTGTTGAATAAAGCGAAATAGATATTGATTCATTAGTTTAGAACATAATTCGATTTCTTTATTTGTTGACGTTGTGTATCAATATTTGTGACTTTTTTTTTGTTAACATTGGTCATTTACTAATTGGTTCAGTGTTGTTATGACCATCCTCAAAGTCGTGTGATCCAAAATCAATATCATAATGATTAGCAGCTAATGTTGTTGTTGATACTTCAGCTATGAAAAACATAATAGATTTGATGACTTTCAGAATAGAAAAATCTTACTATTCGCTTTCAAGTTTTTATTATTATTCACATAGAAAATATATTGAACTGTATCACGTGCATTAAGACACTCAAGCTTCAGCTTTTCCTTTTTTAATTGAAGTAATTGTAATTGTTTTTCATCAGCTTTCATCCCTTTCTATTTTTCTTCACCAAGTTGTTCTTCGATTGTTTCTCGTTCTTCGTTCAGTGTTAATTCGAGATCAACTAATTTTACCAACTAAAAAAAACATACTATTATGCTTAAAACCAAATAATTTTATTTTTTCTATTTACTTCATAATTTGTTCGCATTATTTGATTAAAGAATTGACCAGGCATTTTCTTATGCGTTGAATGATGTCTAAATCGAAAGTTACTTGTTTATTTATAGTGTTTCGGCAGCCGATAGGATTCTAAATTGGGTGGATGTGAGTAAATCCACTTAAGTCATAACGACACCCATAACCAAAGCCATTTTCAGTTATTTTTTTAATAAATTCTACTACTCCTGGCAGATGATCACTCGAATGTGGTATGAAATTTGGTGATATAATATTTAGTTCCTTCATATAATCATTGAATTTTTGTTCAAATGGATGTCTTAATTCAACAAGACCTTCACTATCAATTTGATTTATTGTATCAGGATAATTTGAATCCAAGTACGATGAAAAAATATTATTACAATCATTGAATAATTCCTAGAAAATAATGTTCGATTTTGTTTAATACTTTAAAACATATTTAAATGATTATTTTACTTTTTGTTTATTTTCAATGTCGAATAAACTATCAATGTTTTTAAGTAAGTTTTCAATTGTTAATATTTGTTCGTCATGTTTTTCACTGGGATGAACATCTTCAGGGTGGGTGTGGATTATATTCCGAATATCGTATTTATAACATTCCACACCCACACCCACACCCACCCACCCTCAAATTAGAAGAACCTGTGTGACAATCCCCAATGGAATACGGTCGTCCACACTCACATATTGAATATGTGAGTATGGCAGCTAACATGTTCGGGAAGAAACTACTGAATGAATCGGTATTTTATGTCGCAATTTTTTTTCTGATTAAAACTTATTCTTTATTTTTCAGGGTCCTATTTCGATATTCATGCGTCATTTAATGATTCTGGAAAACAACCCAATTAACAATATGAAATAATGTTATCTCATGTTTATGAGAAAGATTCGTCAATCAACTACTCGATGAATATCAACGTTACTATTGATTCAACAAATACTAATGAATTTGATGAAATACTTAAAAATTATAATAGTAATATCATACGTTTATTCTTCATTATCAACTATCAGTCTACGGTGGTTCATATCAATGCAAATAAAATAGTAACTCTGCCGAAAAATGCCAAGAAATCGACCTTGGAATCGGATCCGTTCAACGGGGATTCTGCTTCCATGAAATCTCCGAAATATCACGGAACTAACCGTTTCCATGCCGGATTGTTCAACCTGGATTCAGCAAATGCCATGAAACATTGACTTAATTTAATGTTATCAACAAGCGACTATTTATTAAGTGAAAGATTATATTGCAATGATGCTCTCTCAATAAACATATACATTTTCATTAAACATTTACTGTACACATTTAAAGACCCTTTTTTTTATTGTAATATTAAAATAAAAAAACTCAAATATCGTCATTCAATTACATATTAATAATGGCAATGTGACAATCATTGTAAAAATATTAATGTTCTTTTATTTTGTGAGAGAGACTCTATTTATTTTAAAATGTCTTTTAAATTAATATTCCCTCAACTGAAAGGAGGTTCTACGCTGAATGAGTTAAGTACGTTCGATGGTTAACTCTGCTCTGTTGATTAAACACTTCTAATCCTTTCCTGTCATAAGAAGTGACCGAGGGATAATCGAGGTTGGGGAACCCGAATCTGATGTTAGTTTTTCAAACAAAGGAGCATTTCTTTACAAAAAAAAAATTTTTTTTATAAAGTTTGTTGAAACAAAAAAGAAGATAAATTTGACTAATTTAAAAGTTGCGTCTTTGGTTGTTGTGATGATGCATTAACAAAACGTCTTCTCACGATGATTTGAGGCACTCGTTGATTTGTGTCGCTTATCTTTTAAATAGATAAATTATTCGCAAAAAATCTTCATCAAATAAACATCTCTAAATTATCAAGCTATTTAAGTTCGACTATATAATTTTTTTTAAGGAAATATATTTTTAAATTATTCCGATGATGTTTACAACAGAAAATTTTTACTATGTATTGCAAGCCAATCTGATATTGTTGTCTATTAGATAGATGTTGTCTTGTCACAGTCCTATATACTTAACACGTAAGATTTAGCGTTATTGATGTATATGTTGAAAGATAAAGATAAATGATATATATATATGATAATTTTTCTCCGAAGAAAAGCATTATTTATAGATTGAAACTCTAAAATGTTGCACTAAGATTTGTATATATGTATCAATATATAACTAGTGATTATATATTTTATTTAATTGATGGCTGACGATATTTTCCTATATCTTTTTATCGAAAAATTGTTTATTGAATCAATAAGGAATCATTGTCCTCGATTTGAAGGCAAAGAATAAGTGGTACACAATATGTCTTAAGTCTATTTTTCTTTCGCTAAAAGTCAACAATCGAGATAGGATAAGAAAAAGCAAGAAACTAAATGATGTTTACAAGAGGATGAATATTGAACTTCAATAAAAGATCATATTTTACATGATATAGAAAATAATTATCTGTGAGTAATCAACAGATATACAAATATTCGTCTGAGTTAACTTTTATTTCTACAAATAAAAAGTATAAAAAGAAATATGAGATTTTCCATTTGATCGTATTCAATACAGTGATCATATATCTATCTGATCATTAATAGCAATATATATCATTTTATTTCCATTACTGTTCTTAAAATTCAAATAAATATTGACATGAATAGTTATGATTTATTTGAGAAAAAATTATTCTATTCAATTATAACAGTCAATCTTATATATTTCTATTTCTATAATAAAGTATTATTAATCTTATTATAAATTGTTTTTTTTTCGTTAAGATCAACTCAAGAATGATGAGCTAAAAAAATGATATATAGCTGTTGTCAGCATATATAATCTTCCATTGA